GTGCATGTGGAGCGCCGGCCGGCCGGCCTTGCCCCGTGAGCGCACCGGGCAGGGCCTCTGCTGGAGGCTTGCCATGGCGTGGAGGGCCCAGGGCTGGCCGCGTGCCGGGCTGGGTCCCCCGGCTCCCTGCCTCACCCTCTTGCGGGTGGCTGTGTCGCTGCAGGGAAGTGCCAGCTCTCGGCTGATCCCGGGGGCTGCGTGGCCTGGGTCAGAGCCCCAGCCTGGCCCCAGTGCATGGTGCTCCTGGGAGGGTTTGCTTCCACATGCCGCATCTCTGCTCCCCGGCAGTGCAGGCTGGCACTAGTTGTGGTGGGCCCAGTGCCCTGGCTGGGGTCCTGGGGCCACAAGAGCCTCAGCCATGTCTGGCCTCAGCCCCAGCTCCAGCCCTGGCCTCACAGGGTGGGAGCGACTGTCCTGCCTGATGACAAAGGCCAGGAGGCTGGGGCATGCCGAGGCATCAAGGGGTCCCTTGGCAGGCTGAGATCCTCCGAGCCTCAGCAGGCAGGGGGAGGCTGCAGGGCCCATGCCCCAGGCTGGCCTCCCCAGAGACCTGGGAAGACGGTTCGCAGGGGAGACCCAGGGCAGCTTGGCCTGCAGGAAGCACCCCTGTGTGCACCATCAGTGCAGCCCCTGGGGCAGGAGCGCCCGTGGTTTGGTCTTCCCACGTTGCATTATGCTGGGGCAGGTGGGGCCGGGCTGGGAGCCAGGCTCGGGGAGGGGCAAGATCACCCGTCCGTCCATTCCTGGCTGTTCTGAGAGCTGCCCCCATGGGGAAGCGTGGGCAGCGTGTGGCCGTGTGCAGACACAAAAACGTGCCTCATGCCCATGGCAGGGCAAGGGGAGGCTCAGCAGCCCCTTGTCCCTAGGGAAATGCTGTGTTCCCTCTTCCTGGGTGCAGGAGTCCCATCCTGCTGTGTCTGAGCGGTCCCCATCCTGGACCATCAGTGCTGGGACCATGAGCCTGATCTGCAGGGTGTGGGAGCTGCAGTAGCTGGGGGAGGCGGGTTTTGCATGTGCCTGGGGGATGTGCTGTTGGGCCCTGTGCTAGCCGGGGCTCTGGCCCGGGTGTGCTGTGTGGCTGCAGACCAGGCCAGGTGGCGTCTCCTCGCTGGCTGGGGCTGGCAGGTCCCCATGGGTGGTGCTGTGTTTGGCATGGGCAGGGGACCCTCCTGGGGGTGCTTCTGACAGAGGGACCAGGCCTGCAGGCGGTTCAGAAGCTTCCTGCACCCACGACGCCTGCGCTGGGCTCGCCCTGGTTCCAACCACGTTGTGGTCCCAGCTGGGCCCGGGGCCAGCCTGGTGGCAGTGAAGGGCCAGTAGACGTGTGGCATCTTGCTGCTGCTGGCACCAGAGCCGCTGTCACCTGAGGAGCTGCCCCCGTGGCTGAAGCACAGAGCATCTGGCAGAGGAGTGGACGGCTCCTTGCCCAGCAAGGCAGCTGGCTGCTTTGGGCAGGGCACAGGTCCCAGGCTGGCGTTGGGTCTGTTACTGCAGTCGTAGAGCTACTACGTCCTTTCCCCGGACTGCGGGCAGAAGGGCCTGTCCCTGGGGCAGGGGGCTGCAGCGTGGAGTCAAGAGGGTCCGGGTTGCACGGTGCAGACAGACCTGTTGGCAGCTGCCCGGGGCACATTCGCCAGGGCTGCTGTGGCTGCCTCTGGTGCCTGCGCGGCCAAGCACAGCCATGTTCCTGGAGGCCAGCCTGGCTTCAGTTCCTGGCAACAGGAAGTGTTGGCCTTCCTTCCTGAAGGCAGGCAGTAGGGGAATGGTGGCCATCTTCACTGAGGGCAGCTCTTGGCCTCAGCTCTGCTGGTTCTCCAGGGAGACAGCGGTCATCTTTTCCTGCGACAGCGTGGCCAAGGTACCCCATGTCTGCAAGGGGCTGGGACTCGCCTGCAGAGCCATAGCAGGACCCCACTCAGCCGCAGATCCAGCCGCAGCATGCTCGTTGCAAGCAAAGCCCCCACGGGCCTGTGGGCACCGGGGGTGGTGCCAGGCTTCTCACGGGCGGCGGGATGACATGCTCATTGGAAGGGTGGAGCCGCGCTGTCTGCCCATGAGCTGGCCCGTGGCGGAGCCTGAGCAGAGGCAGGGCAGGCACCAGCCCCGCGGGGGTGGCACATCACGGCTGCGCTGACGGTTGGTGCCAAGCGCCCAGTCCGGGCCATCGCAGGCTGCTGGTCCCAAGGTGGTGGGACACAGTCAGGGCCCCCGAGAGCGCCAGCCGCCCTGGAGCGATGCAGCAGATGGAGAAACAACGAGCACGTCTGCAGCAGTCGGTGCCATCCAATCGGCGGCTTGGTGCCGGCACACAGGGTCGCGGAGCCTCGCATCTACCCCTCGCTCCGGGGTTCGGGGTTCAGGCTCCTGGCGTCCGTCTCGGCATCCTCGTGCGGTGCCTCATCCTGGCACTGACGATGCCTCTGCTCCTCTGTGGCCGCCTGGGATTTCCATGGTGGCTAAAGCTGTCCCGAGCCCTGGCCAGGAGTCCTGACGGCCGCGGCTCGGGGGGCAGGAAGGGCTGGGCAGCGCATGCTGACGGCGGCTGTGTTTTAGGGGCAAGTTGGCAGCTGTGCTGCCTGGGGGAGCTGAGCTTACGGCTGCTCCGGGCTCCCCTGCAGGTGAAGTGCGCACTAACGAGCTGGCCCTCATTTGCTGTTGGCTCAGTGGTGTTGAGGGCTTTGCCACAAGGCTGGTGCCAGTGAAGGGAGCCCAGCCGGGGCCTCGGGCTCCTTTGATGTTCGGGGAGCAGGTGCAGTCACAGACCCTGTACCCCAGAGCCTGCTTGGGGGCCACCTGTGAGGCTCCCTTGGCGAGTCTGCAATTGGCAGCACCCACGGCCAGTGAGTTCAAGCAACCCTGGACGTGAAGAGCGGCCGCGCTCCCCGCAGGCCTCGCTCGGGTGCAGCCCAGGCCGTCTGAGCTGTGGCACCAGATATGGGGACAGAGCCGAGCCACGCTGGGATGGCCCTCCTGTCCTGGGGGAGTGGGCTCTGTGCAGTCAGAGGGCAGGGCAGGGCAGGGCCTGCTGGGGGCACAGGTGGGTGCTGGGGAACGTGGCTGGCAAAGCCGGGCTCAGAGGCTCGCTGCAGCCCTGCTGCCCCCGGGTCTGCCCTCCTGGGGCTGCAGCTGCGCGGGAGGCTGGTGTGCCAGGACGGGCCTGGCGGTCCCTGCGGTGCAGTGGGGCAGGGTGGGGGTGCACTGCCTCTCCTCTCACCCTGGACATCGAGTGATGTCTTTGGCGTCACCCAGTGCGGAGCCCCGGGCCTGCCAGGGTCCGGCACGGTCCTGCTGTGGGGTGCGGCTGCGTTCCCGGGTGCTCTCGGGGCACTTGTGTGCCAGCACGTCCAGGCCCGTTGCGCTGCCTGGGTGCACCAGGGAGGCCGGCGCTGCCTGGGCTTGCATTGGGGATCAGCTGGCGTGCAGCTACGTGGGATGCTCTGGCCAGCGCAGGGCCTCTTGCCAGTGCCCAGTGCGTGGCGGCAGAGCCAAGCCGTCAGTCCCCTCTGAGCTGGGGACGGCCAGTCCGGGCAGGGCCGTGGCGCAGGCAGCCTGGCCTGGACCCCTTTGTCGCCCCAGGGTGGGTGGGTGAGCAGGCACTGGGGTGGTCCCAGGGCCGAGCCTGCAGCCAAGGACCTCCCTCTGCCCACGTCCCTGCAGCAGCGGTGGAGGAGCCGAGGGGGAGGGGGCCGTTACATAAGGACCAGAGGCAGCGGCAGAGCAGAGCGAGCGGCATGGAGCAGGGGGAGGGGACGGCGGAGCTGCAAATCCCAGCGCCTCCTGCCCGGCCTCCCTGGCGCAGGATGGCAGCTCCGTGACACGCACCTGGGCCCTCGGCTCACCCGCGTGGGTGGCTCTCTGCAGGCCAGCGTGGGTGGGCGGGGGCACGTGGGCTCCTTGCTTCCCTGCTGTGGCACTGGCCACATGCCAGCCCCGCTGCCCCGCTGGCACCGGCGCTGCCCCACGCTCCCCACTGCAGCTGCCCTGCCGCCCCGGGTGCAGTGCCCGCCTGTGGGGGCAGCTCCGGCAGGCAGCTGCCGAGGGGCTGAGCAGCAGGCAGAGAAGTGCTGGGGGAGCGTGGGGCCTGAGCTAGCCCTGGATGCAGGGCGGCCTGGTGCAGCTGGGGATGGCCGTGGCAGGGCAGGCGCTGCGCCCCAGCCCCAACAGCCACCTGCGTTTCCCACGCCCCCACGCAGCGCGCCGGGCACGGGAGAGGTCAGTCTGTGCGGGGCACAGGCCTGAGCGGGGCATGGCCTGGCCGCGCTGGGGCGGGGGGGGGTCTCCACCTGCACCCCATGCTGGCTGCGGGTCACGGGGGAGAGCATGGGGCCCTGGGGCAGCTGGACACGGCGTGGCACGTCCAAGGCAGGCAGGGCCATGGCACTAGGTGCCCAGCATACCAGGCTGGAGCCTGGGCTGAGTGCCACCTCTCCTGTCCTTGGCGGGCCCAGTGGGGGCTCCCCGGGGGTCGTCTCCATCCCCACGCGTGAGGCTGCCGCATCCCTTCTTTTGGCACCGCCTGTCCTTGTGTCTGTCTGCACGTGCCTCTCTGTGTGCTTCTGCAGTCCCCTGCCCATGAGTCGTCCCATGCACATTCGGGTGTGCGGTCCCTGCCCTGCCCTGCCCTGCCCTGCCCTGGGGTGCAGGATGCTGGTCGTGCTGCTCTGCGTTCACAGCCCCTTGCATCTGCCACCCTGGGCGCTGGGTGCCACCCCCTCCCGTCCATGGCACACGGAGGTGCAGGGCCTGGGCCTGTTGCATGCCTTGCTGTGGCCCAGCACCCCCACGCCCCGGTGCCCAGCCAGGCTGGGGGCTGGAGCAGGGCGGGAGGCCATTGGGGTGGTTAGGCGTTCCCCAGCCACTTGCTGGGCATGGGCACTGGGCTGGTGCAGGTCTGTGTGGCAGACGTCCCTGGGCGGGGGCCGCTGGTGCTCATCGTGGCCACTGACTGTCCCCTTCTCTCCACAGAGCCGTGGATCCCAGCTGTGCAGCTCTTCCTGAAGGTGCTCAGCAGCCGGCGGCCCTGTGGCTCTGAAGAGGCAGCTGGCTGCCCCCACATCACTGCAGCCATCCTGCCACCCTCGTGGGAAGTGCCCGCCCCGCCCCCAGCGGCGCTGGCGGGTGGTGCCGCCCCGCACGTGGCCGCGATGGGGACTCGCTGAGCCGTGGACGCAGGCTTCCGGTCACGGGTGGTGCCACTCCACACAGACGATGTGGCTGGCTCCGCGCCAAGGCCCCGCCGCGTCCCCTGGACTCCCCGCGCCTGAGCTGGCGGCAGGCCGGGGCCTGCGGCTCGTCCTGGGCGTGCTGAGCCTGGCCGTGGTCGTGGTGCGCCTGGAGGGGCAGGCCTACTCTCCCACCGTCAACACGCGCTACGGGAAGCTACGCGGCGTGAGGGTGCCACTGCCCAGCGAGATCCTGGGGCCTGTGGACCAGTACCTGGGCGTGCCCTACGCGGCGCCGCCCATCGGCGACAAGCGGTTCATGCCCCCCGAGCCGCCTGCATCCTGGTCGGGCATCCGCAACGCCACACACTTCTCGCCCGTCTGCCCCCAGAACATCCACAGCGCCGTGCCCGAGATCATGCTGCCCATCTGGTTCACCTCCAACCTGGACATCGTGGCCACCTACATCCAGGACCCCAATGAGGACTGCCTGTACCTCAACATCTACATCCCCACTGAGGACGGTGAGTGCCGGTGGCCGGGTCCCGGGACGCGGGTCTGCTGCATGCGGCCGCCGTGGCACCTGCAGCATGGTCTGTGTGTGGACGCGCGCGCTTCCTCTGCCCACGCCGCTTGCCCCCGCTGCCGCCCCCGTCTCGTGCTCTCCCTGCCCCTGCCTCCCCCGCCCGCCCGCCATGGCTTCCTCACGGCTCCTCTCTCGTCTTGCTCAGTCTGGACCGGGCTCTGACCACAGATCTGGCGCTGAGGGCAGGCGCTGCCGCAGGGGCCTGGCCGTGTGCGCCGGCCCAGGGCGGGCTGCCGCCGGTGCGGAGGAACACTCCCGCTCGCTCGCTGGCTCTGCTGGGATGGGGGCCAGGAAGCAGGGCTGGCTGCTCGCTCCAGCCGGGGACCCCAGTGCAACGCGGCGCAGCGTGGCGCAGCGCAGGGCAGGGCGCCCGG